CCCCCCCCCCGCCCCCCCACTCCCCAATGCATCATGCATAAACTGGTTCAGGACTCTGTATTGCATGTATTTCCCCTATCTAGATTCCCTTCCCTCTATTAGATCACAGCTCCAGGGTCACCTCCTCCAGGAAGCCTTCCATCACACTCCACAGAGTTCTCATCGTGCTAGAGCCACATTACTCCCGTAGCACTTATCATAATGTGCTGGGACAGCTTGTTTTCCTGCCACAATCTCAAATTGTTCACCCTGTAAGGGCAAGAACTTAGAATTTAAGTACATATTTAGACCTTATTTTTGTTCTCAATTCATTCAATGGTGTAATACAGGGGAATAAAAAGACATTAATTAAAAATTGGAAGTTGACTTGAAAAAAAAATAAGGAAAAACAAGGGTGAGGGCTTAAGAAATAACGGTAATGCAAAAACGCATCTAGCAGTACCCTACACATTTGCAACTGGCTGGCCAGAAACTTAGCTCCAACTTTTTATCAGCCAACTAGAAGCAAGAAACCTGATCCGTCCCAGTTAGAGCAGTAAAGCCAGCCAAATGCTCAGAAGAAGCCAGCATTCCTGACATGAGACCAGAAGAGGCTTCCCCTTCAGGTCTTCCAAAGAAAGTGTGAAGTTACCCACCACCGCCTAGCAGGCCGGGCAAGCGGCAGCTCCCTCAACGGGGCCAGCACATCACCCACAGGAGAGAACAGTGAGGGCACTTCTGCGGGGCCCTCACGGGTGCCGCTGGGTAGGGAGCTCAGCTGGTGAGCTTAACCCAGGAGTGTGTGCAATGTGGGTGGGCCACACAGGCGTCTGACAACATGCCACACACTTTCCTTCTCCAAGATAAAGTTTTACCGAACATGGGATCAAAGAGTTTAAGATTATACTACCTGACAAATACCTGGAATGCAACTAATCTGTGTGGCTTATTACAAGAAGAATCAAAGGTATAAACCAGCAGTCAACAACTGGTGGCTTAGGAACAAGGATCTCGTCCTATTTTCTCTCCCTAACCCCAGCATCTAGTATGGTGGCTCTCAGCCCTCTCAGACTGAGGCATCAATAGGATTCCATGTGTTACGACGTGGAAAAGAGGAGTGACAATGTGTTGCCTCTTTACATGAACAGATAGTTTGTAATGCCCCCTCCACTATCCTGGATTTACAAGATAATGTACCCAAATAATAACCCTATCCTCACATATAATTTCAAAAAAATAAAAACAATACTCTAACATATAAAGCAAAAGGAAACTGATAAAAGATAATATGTATTTCAATCTACAAAACCTTTGCCCTAACTATCCTAGAAGACATAGTGATGTAGTCAGATTCTTGGAACTACTGTTTTAGAAAATAAAACAAAAACAACAATAAAAAAGTCCGAATCCATTCCATATAACAAGTATGGGAATGTTCAACGATAGAGGTGAGAATGCTCCCTAGAATCACAACTTGTGTTTATTACCAGGACTCACTAACAGATCAGACTTATGTGTGTATGTAAAGAGGAGAGAACCTGAACTGAGGTAGAGATTGCTTGCCCAGGTAAACTTCTTAGTTGGAGAAAATAAGAAAGTACCACATCCTGGCAAATGAGCTGGGTTCTATGCACAAGTGCAGCATCAACATGATTCCATGTGTTGTGACATGGAAAAGAGGAGTGACGATGTGTTGCAAAAAGTATACCTTCTGCCAGGACTCCCACCTCGAGTAGATTTGTAGCTTCAGTCTCTGAAGCTTCCTCAGGACGGTGAACCACACACGGGGCAGGACAACCCGGGCGGGGCAGGCTGTCCGTACCCTGCAGAACATCCCGCAGCCCTGCCCCTTGCCTCTACATGCCAGGGGTGCTGCCCGCAGCCCTCGTGACAACAGAGATACCTTCACATCCTCCATCTTCTTCAAGACCCATTACCCAGCACAGAGTAGAGGCTCCACAATGTGAAACAAGCTAAGGAACAAGCGAGTGATGAAGGACTGAATGGGATGAACAAACCGAACTTGAAAATGAGGATGGTAATCGGTGTGTCAGGAGAGTGTCCTGAAGATCAGGAGAGTGGGAGGACCTGGCCCAGGGCCTGGCAAACAGCACTCAGTGGACGCTAATTGTTAAACAAAAGTTGGAAAACAGTATATTTCATGTGACGCTGTCAGAGGACCCAGGGGCCACGTGGTCGCCCACAACCCTGACCTTGCCTCTGATCCCCCTCATCCTGGCTCTTCTTCACTGTGCACTTCAAGCCCAGGGAGCCAGCTAGTCTTGTGCACTTTCTGAGCTCCAGGGGGGAGAAGGAGCATGCATACCTTCTTCGGTTTCTGCAGCACTGGAGGGCATATCTGATCTTTCCTCCGGCCTGGTTTCTTGCTCTTCAAGAGTCTAAGGAAGCAAGAGAAAAAAATCACTGAATGCCAATTGAGGCCTCAAATCTGCAACAAAGAGATAAAAATCACATTCAAGGACCTCAGAGCAGGGACAGCCCAGAGGCATGGTCTGGGGAGGTGGGGAAAGATAGGCAGCACCCCAGGAAGACGGTGAGAGATGTAGGGGGAACCTGGAGGCATGGGCCAAAACCGTCCCTGAAACTAATCCTCTCCTGCTTCCCAGGTCACGACAAGGTTCTCAGAACGTGATACGTGAACCAAAAAGGGGGACAGAGAACAAAGTCTTGAAACCAGAAAGAATGGCCACTGTTTTATGCATCTGCCCACCTAGCCCAACCCCCATCTACACCCTAAGACTCAGGGATCTCCGGGACCCAAATGATGGGGGATGACCACAGCCCTCATGACAACAAGGCTGAGCATGGGCCTTGGGCTGCACGCTGACACACACAGGTGCGGGCTGTCCCTGGCCGAGACTAAGTTTGTGAACCTTAAAGAGAAGCTGTCCTCTTTGGAGCCCTCTGTATTTTCTATTGAAATGGATTTCCCACAGCCAGTGAAGATGTGAAGAAAAACAGAATTATGTGTTAATGAGTCACATGGTAAAACCACCCAAGACTGCAGCAACACTTGCTCCAAATTGAACACATGGGCAAACCTAGACAACCCTACCACAGACACAGATGTCTGCAACCCCTTGGCATGACATGACGTGTATCATTTCTCAGCATTCTGATGGACAAAATGCTGCTGCAGGGAGAGAGCTAAAACTGGATTAAAAGACAGAGCTAAGGTTTTTGCCTAGTATTTAATCTTCTAATATCTCCCTTCACAGTTTGGATATGTAGCACCAACCTGTCATTGTCTAACGTTTAATATCCATTACAAATTTCCAGTCCGCCAGTGCCGCTGTAAGAGGATGTGAGGACACGAATCCTTTACAAGTCTGCACAAGTGTGTCTCTGAGTGGGGTCGGCCGAAGGGCTCTTGGGTGTGGCACAGCACACGTAGGTTCTGCAGCAAGGTTTTGCCGTTGTTCTGGAAGCTGCAGATCACTGTGCAATACCCAAACCCTGAGACTGAAGTTGCCTCCTTAGTGATACTGTGGTTCACCAAGAATGAATTAGCCCCTCAGATCAAGTCAGATATAAAAATAGAGTTTTAGCCTGGCTGGTGTGGCTCAATGGTTGAGCATCAGCACATGAACCAAGAAGTCCCCAGTTTGATTCCCAGTCAGGGCACATGCCTGGGTTCAGGCTAGATCCCTGGTGGGGGGCATACAGGAGGCAGCTGATCAATGTGTCTCTCTCATCCATGTCTTTATCTCTCTATTCCTCTCCTTTCCTCTCTCTCTAAAAGCAATAAAAACATATTAAAAATAGACTTTTAGAAATCTAAGACTTAAGAAAGCATGAATATTTATAATAATGCATAATCTCATATTTGTTACCCAAAATTGTAAAGCTTTGGCGTGGATAACCTATATAACAATTACCACCTGCTCACGTTTAAAATAACATCTAACCAAGTAAGCAGTACGTGCCACCAAAAAATTTAGATTCAATAATCCCATAAAAACATTTGGTGGGCAGGTAAGATTTAATGCCTTTGGATGTTCTAAAGAATCTCAGCCTTGCTCCCTCCGGGTCTCCCCACTCACTACCCAGCCACACCCCTCGGGGGAGGAAGAAAAAGAGGGGTGCTAAGACCTGGAACAAAAGGCCATGCCATTGTAACTGATTCTTTTAACAACGTTATGTCATAAACAAACTTTCTCAGTGTTTTTCATGAAGTGAAAATCTCCAAGTAACTGGAAAGCAATTTCCATTTGGTCTTCGTTATTGTCAAGTCCACTATGAAATAATATTAGAGCATCGACATTTACTCCTCCTAAATCTTCCCCAAGGTTGATCAGTGCTATCTCAAATGTGTTATGCAAAATCACAAATCCAAACTAAGAAGTTGGAGGATTTTATAATGGAAAGAAAGTTCAATAATGGTTGCTGTACACAGAGCTTGCTCCATCCTTCTCAGGAGTGCGTCACCAGGTGCCGTGCTGCCACCCGGGGACACACATGTTGCTGAGCTCCGCCCTGAAGGGCCTGCACGGAGCAGAGTGCATCTCGAGCAGTGCTGCTTCCCAGGCCAAGCCTGTGCCCGGCCGGGACAGCCACACCAGGTGCCGGGGGAGAAGCCAGGGATGGCTGAAGGCTTAGTATCTTTAAATGACAAGTACCCGTAAGCAAAACAGGAAACACCGTATGCCAGAAAATTACACACTAAATGTCCTAAAATCCAACAAAAGGAAGTAGTTCATACCCTGAAGAGCATGTTTCATTCTAGTTGTTTAAATAAAACCCTATATGGAAAAAGCCAACAATAATCTGCATTTTAGAGATAATGTTTTGAGCTAAATCTTTCATTTGGCAAGAACTGTGATAAGTAACAAGATGAGTCTCCTGAACTGTGTGCTCTGTGAAGTCTATACGCCATAAAGCCCGAGCCTTATGAATGGACATGCCTGAGAGCACAGGGTCACGGGATCTGTGGGTGAACCCTGACACCCCTGAGTACTCTCAACTAGACTGACTCAGCCCTTTTACTCAAAAGAACATTTTGCTTAATAATAATTAAGAGATGTAAATATTCTTTATATTCTTCCAGATTCCACCCAAAAAATAAAAATAGTGAAGATGAAACATCTTGAACCCTGAGAAGGGCATGCTATGGTGGCACCCAATGCTGTGTGTGGGGCCTGTGGGCGGGGGGAGGGAAACTTCTCTGAAAAAGAACTGGTTTCAAGTGTCGAGACCCCTCTCAGGAAGAATCTGCACCCTGGGGCAAATGCTTAGCTACACCTAAGCCATAAGAAACCCACAGTAGATATTACACAAGTAACATTACCCCAAATACACTGCTTTAGATAAGAATTATAGCATAACCAATACATTAATAGAAAATACCCAATGTTAGAATTTTTAAAGTCCACCAATGACAAAGCAAGCTCATAAAAAGCAAAAGAAACCAGAACACTATATAAATTCCTATTTTCTACTGCCCAAATATTACATAATAATCTTCATTCTACTGCATAACAGTTTCCAATTCCCTGCCCCCCAAGCTTCTATTAGGAAAATGCTGTTCCCCAAACAATGAGTGTTGCCTGCACTCTCCAGGCGCGGTTATTGTACACTAGAATAACAGGGCACAAACCTTGATGAGAAAGGCTCTATCCCAAAAGTATTTCCTGAAGAGTTTAATGTCTGCCTCCAACAAATGCTCGGCCGTGTGGTGAAGCGTCAGGGTCAGCGTTCCTGACGCGTGAATATACTGCAGGAAGGCATCTTCGCTGAGCTGCACTCGGGAGAAGCCTGGGGAACGTCTGCCCTGGAAACTGAACGTCACAAATCAAAACCCACGCACAGCTTTGGAAGCACTCCCCCGCCGCCCCCCCCCCAAATCCCACTGCCCCTGATATCACAAATCCAACTGGCAAAAAGGTCCTCGAAAGCCACCTGCTGACATACTAGTAAGTACGTAAAGTCATGGAAACAGGCTCTAATAAAGCCATCTTTCTTTTTCCACCGAGAGGAGCTATCAATTGAAAAGCCATTTACATATATCATATACCTTAAAGATTTATATAAATAATGAAACAGTATTGACTTTACCTCAATGTTTCATTCTCCTTTCAATCTGAAAAGATGCCTCTCCCTTTAATGGGGCCACAAGTAGAACAAATTAGCAGGCAGCCACCAGTTTATTAGATGATTACAGTGGAAAACAGATAGGCTCTCCAGGGAACATGGTAAGGTTTGGATGTTACAAACAGTGAGATATTCAAAACACACTGGCCTGCTGCTGTAAGTCATTTTCTCATGCAAATGAAAACATGCATAAATTTGATTCTATTTCATTCTTGAATACACTCCCATAAACAAAGGCACAATATTCCCAAACTAAGTTCCTGAATACCCGCTTATTTTCTGTTCTGTTTTGGCTAAGAACAGTTCCACATTTATTGGCTATATGTAGGCTTCATGGGTAGTATCATAGTATCCGGGATGGCTTATCAGCTCATGCAATAAAAAGAATAAATAAATGTGAGTTGCTCCCAGGTGACAGCCCTCAGCATGTCACACCCCAGCAGCTCGCTCCCAGGTTCCCTGTGTCACAGAACTAGTGCTCTGCCTCTTTCCTCTCCATGGCCTCATTCTGTTCATGAACGTGTGCCTTTCAGAAACGCAGTGTACTTCCAATCCAATAAATGTAATCGCCATCATAGAGAGTGACAAAAAGAGATCCAGAAAGAGCACTTATGCTCTAAGGTTTGGGGCATCTTCCTAACCTCTTGGCACTAATACCTGGCAGGGACTCTGGAATCGTCCAGGAAACAACTTCCTATTCCAATGACAAGCCGCTGAGACAAATGGACAATGGGCTCTGAGCCTGAGCAATCAGATCACTGCTATTAATTTAGAAAATGGAAGCTCTAAATTTAGCTGACAGTCAGTCTACTTCTAATCCCACACATGAATGGATTTATTAGAGGTGTAAACTTTTAAAACACATAATATCTTCTGGTCTTGGACCCAGAAGAAAGATAAAAGCTACAAGATGAAGAAGTCAGCCTCCAGGAACTCAATGGAACAGTCACTAAGTTGAAAGAAGCAGTCCTGCTGGGTCATGGCAGAGCAAAGAAAAGGGCAATTCTCTGTGGATGGGTTCTTTCCTTGGTTGGTGATCATTTGACCAAATGAGGGGGGGAAAACACACAAAAAAAGAAAGCTCTGACTTCTACTCCAAGATCCATATATGGCCCACCCAGTGTGGCTCAGTGGTTGAGTATGGACCTATGAACCAGGAGGTCATGGTTCGATTCCCAGTCAGGGCATGTGCCCAGGTTTCGGGCTTGATCCCCAGTGAGGGGGTGCAGGAGGCAGCCAATCAATGCTTCTCTCTCATCATTGATGTTTCTCTCTCTCTCTCTCTTTTCCTGAGATCAATAAAAATATATTTTTATAAAGATCCATGAATGGATCATAAAACCATAAATTAATTACATTGAGTTCTATGAGCCAAACAAGAGAAACAAGTCCAGTAATACTATAATAATGCTGACAACACTTAATATTTATGTAGCACTTTGGAATTTTTAATATACTTTCCCATTTGCCTGAAGGACTTTTTTTTACCATATGTTAAGTGAAGAAAATTACCATATATGAATCCTCTTTTCATAGCTTAAGAATAATGACCAATCTGAACCATGTAGCAATATACTCATAATTCATTGAAAGTGTGGATATCATCATCAACATAGACAACATTACAGTTGATAAATTATTTCACTAGATCCCGATAACCACCCATTGACTTTATAGTGTTTTAGGGTTTGTCTGTCAGTCATTGATTCAACAAAAACTTACATTCTTTCAGTGAGTGTTATGTGCTGAACACGGGGGTGGGTAAAACATAAATGGTTTCAGCCCTCAGATTTAGGAGGGAGACATATGAAACAGGTGATCACTATATATATAAAATTCTAAATTACAGTGAATATTGTGAATAATTTTAGTCACAATTACTATTGTGAATTAATAATCATAAAAGACCATAACACAAAAGGCATCTCTGAAGAAGTGATATGTAAGCTGAAACCCCAAAAATAAGTAGGGGTTATTAATTACTATTAAGTATAGCTAACTATAGAGATTTTGAGACTTTTTTCCCTGCCTCTTTCTCCCCCATAAAGTGTTAATGCCAAATATCCCCGTATATCTGTGTATGTACTTTATACATGAGAACTAAAGGTAAAACATAAACCAATATTACCCATTTTTTCCATAATGCTCTGCAGACCTTATAGAAACAGACGACGAGAGAAACTACCAAGTAGCCAGACTCACTTTGTGATGCTGCCAGCCAGCGTGGAGTGCCCACCATTTAAAGCCAAGTCTACTGGCGTGGCACCCTCTTCGTTGGGTAAAGCCAAGGCCTGAGCGCCCCCCGGGAGACACACGAGGAACTGGGACAGCTTCGGCAGGCCCCAGCGCACAGCCAGGTGGAGCAGGGACTCTCTGGGAAGAGTAACTGAAAAGAAGACAAACCCATGTTAGTCCCTGTTTCCAAACTCGGTCTCACACATGTTATCAGAGACCACGCATTGGACATAGTAAGAATGGCAGAGCTGGAGGAACCACCATAAGCATCGAATCCAACACCTCATTTACAGACGTGGAGAGCTCAGTGATCTGCCCAAGGTCGGGTAGCCAGTAGCTGCTGGAGCCAGGTCCCCTCCTTGCTGATACAGGGTTCTTTCCACCACTAGGGGGCACGTCCGCATCCCCTTTCACTCACATGCCGCCAAGTCTTCCAGGGAAAACAAGGGCTAGGAACAGACCACGCTTTGGAAACAGACACCCCTGAGGAGATGGTGCCACTGCAGTAGGGCAGGCTCTCAGAGGCCAGCGCTGGAAAGCAGCCTCCGTTTCCACCCTTTGTCCTCTGGTGAGAAACTGGGCAGAAAGGGGCTTCACCTGTCCAGGAAACTGAAGACCATGGTGTCCACCCCCGCTCCCCCGCCAACTTCACCCATCTATTAGATCTGAGGGATTATTTCAGTGTTGCCAAAGCCACCCCAGCTCCTGGTATAGCTGAATGTCTTGGTTTCATTGTGGTGATTGCCGCTCTATATATCATGATTGTTTCCTAGCTGTACCATCTTACAGGTTAAGGGGGTCCTTGAAGTTTTTTATTCATAACATCCAGCATCCTATCTGGCAAACTGAAGTCATTTGGTATTTGTGGAGTTGAATGGCAAAATCTCAGTTATTTGTGTATGTTTAAAATGCCTGGTTTGTATAGAGTTCATGCACCTGTATTTCTATGGCAATGACCCAGTGTCTGGAACCCAAGTCATCCATGATAAACATTATGTTGGAAATATGCAAAAGAACTAATTTGCCTACATTTTTAAAAATCCTAGGGCTGTAAACTCCATAGACATCAAGACACACCTTAAAACAAGCCTAATCTTAACAAACTAAACATGAAAATTCTAACATTCAAGATCTGTTGGAATAAACATGCAGTAATTTATTGGATTATGGCTCTGTGTTTTCTAAAATGGTTGTACTAATTCATATTTTATCTAGTAATGAATGTAAATTCACGAGGGCTTAGTAATTTATTTTTCAATCTTCCAACCTGAATTTTTGCTAATTGAAAGGCATAGTCAAACCTTATACAGGTATGATAATAACCTTAAATTTGGACTGGGCAGTAAATATAAATCACTGTCCTTAAGTAATAACCAAACAGGCCAACCCTGCACATGGCCTCAGGCCCTCTGGAAGGCCTCCTGGTGTGCGCCGCATTCCATATAGCCTTTTCCTGAAAAACCCAAGGCAGGGATGAACACTCTTAGGACCTTGATGTCTTTGATGCGCCAGCCCGGTTTTCCAGGCAGAGAAACTGAGGAGTGTCCGAGTGAGGGGCCTGGGCTTTGAGCCTCCTTCCCTGCCTGGGGCAGATGAGCCTCTATGCCCTGATGGGAATGTTGACTGAACGACACAGCCTGCTCAGTTCCTTTTTGTGTCTGGGTGATCTAGTGCCCAGGATGTTATACGTCACACCTTTTAATATTTGCCATTAGAGCAATCCTTAGTCATTCTGTTGTGGTTACCCTTTAGTTCAAATAACTCCTGGCACCAGCCAAACAGGAAGAGACCTATTTATTGGGGGGAGGGGTGGGGGAGGAAGGGGTGTTTCATTTTAATTGAACACCTCTACCTCTGCCAAATTGCATAACCCCTTTTCAAAGCTTGTCTTCCTGGCTGCTGTTAAGAATCTGAAACTCTATAACAAGCAGGATAATTTATATATGTCATAATGTTTCCTATTTCAAGCTGTTTGCCTGATTCTGTGCTCAGAACTTTTATACTGAATGAGAAAGTGCTCTCTTAAAACATTTCGCTCAGTTTCTTCCTCTTTTTTTTTTTCTTCCAACATTAGAAGACCTCTCTCCCCCTGCCTTCCCATCTCCCAGGAAGTGGGCAGGTTCTGGAAAAGGGAGGGGTGGGGGGAGGAGGAGGGAGGAGAGTGCCTTCTGTTGTCTCCCATTGAACTCGATGTGAGGATGGAGCCAGCAAGGAGAGGACAGGGAGCTGGACTAACAGGATAGACTTGGAAAGCTCTCTTGGTGGAGGAAACAGCTCCCCCTGCCACCCACCCCAACCCCCAAAAAAACTCTCACACTGTTGGTCAGACTAAATACACACACATACACAATAAAAGACACAGTTGTGTTAAAGGTCCTCCCCAGAACAATTAAAACAGAATTTCTGGGTCAGAGTCCAAGCATCCATCTTTTCTGAAGATTCCCAAGATTCTTATGCAAAGTCAGGGTTGGTATCTCTCACCTTAAATAAATAAGTGGTTAACAAAATATATGTTTTCTATTTATACCTCTGTCTTCCCAATCAGCTTTTAGGTAAAAAAGTTTCACCAATAAATAAGAACAAAAAACAATGTTTGTGACTTTGGCAAGTTATTTTAAATTCATATTACTTACCGCTAAGCCAGGATATAGCCTTAAACATTGAGCAAAATATTAGAAACTACTAATACATTTTAACATATTAAAGCTAAAATGTGATGGGCACAATAATCTAGAAGTAAATGATGTTTTTAAACACAAATTAATTCAGAAGTAGTTCTACATTGTAGGGTTTAGTAATGTTTTGTAACTCCTGAGTGGAGCCACTAAAATATATTCAACACTGTAAGTTTATAAAGAATAATTTTTTAATTCACATAAATCTAATTCATTAAAATAAATAACTCTGGTTTCCAAAGTCACACATATGTACTTCACGGAAGTCTCAATTTGAGCATCTAAGTCATTCAGTAGATACACACTGAATGAAACTACTACGATGGTAACCGTGAGGAAACTCCATTTTTTTAACATGACCCTTTCTCCTTTCTTTCCGTCCATTCCCTTCCTTAATCATTAAGTCCTTAGGACATCAAATTCTGGTCAGCATCAAACTGTGGCAAGAAGAAAGCCTCAGGTCTTTTGACCACAGAAACAGAGTTTGGTCAAATTAAAGATAACATCAGCCCCAGGCCCATGACCTTGTGAACCACTCCCTCAGGAAAACAGACAGAACAATGCCATGTTTGATGTCAGGATCTGATGCCCTACCCTGGCCCCAACCAAGCAGCAGAGCCCATGACCCCAACTCTGTTAGCCACCATGATTAATGGTTTTCCCCTATATAACTCATCCCCTGGAAGCCAGTGGTTAGCACTAGCTCACCTGTGATTCCAGGCTTAGCACCATTTCCTCAACTAATTAACCTCGACTTTCTTTGCTATAACTCCTGTTCAAATTTAATTGGGCTTTAATGGGTACGAGTGAACGGCCTCTTTTACTCTGGTAACACTATATGCCAGGCCCTGTGGCCACAGAGATGAACACGGCCCTTGTCTTTGAGAAGCACACAGTCAGCCCACTTTTGTTCAGAGTAAAATAAATATCTGTGAAATCACTGTCTGATGACGACAGTTCTAGGCTTGACATAAAGAGGGTGAATAGAAATAAAGAAACAATGTGCCCTACCTCCAAGAACACTGCTCTGCCGGTTAATCCAACCTACTCACCTTTCATGACCTGAAAATGTAAAGATGTTGATAAAATGCCAAAATGATGAATAAAACATAAAGAGAATGAAAAATAAAAAAGTACCAAAACGTACACGGAAAGTTGAAGAGAGAACCCGGCATCTCACACTTTTTTAGGACTCTCAATGAGAATGGAAGGAGAGGTCATGTCTACGGCATCTTCCATTTAGACCAGCGGTTCTCAACCTGTGGGTCGCGACCCCTTTGGCGGTCGAACGACCCTTTCACAGGGGTCGCCTAAGACCATCCTGCATATCAGATATTTACATGGCGATTCATAACAGTAGCAACATTACAGTTATGAAGTAGCAATGAAAATAATTTTATGGTTGGGTCACAACATGAGGAACTGTATTTAAAGGGCCAGAAGGTTGGGAACCACTGATTTAGACGGTCTAACCAGGGCTTTGGTGTGTGCGTAAACAAATCAGCCTTCCACGCAAGACCGGAGGTTGGTCACTCCAGGACAGGAATTACAAATATAAATACGCTCAGAGGAAAGAGATGGAAACGGGACGTGCCTCCAGGGAGCACAACGCAGGCATGGCGGGCGTGGGTGGCGCATAAAGCCAAAAGGTAGAAGGGAAGTGAAACAAGCATAATGGCAGGTTTTAGTTTCCTGAGTCTTCTTTTCTGCAACGGATGCACTTGGGACACTCAGCTGACAACCACCCCTGACTGAAAGTAACCTGGGAAGACACCAATCGCACACACAGTTATTCCGGAAAACGTGCATTGCGATACACAACACTGGAGTGCACTTCATGGCGTTCACATCTCACCTAGGCGGGTTCTACTTTATTTTACCTCGTGGAACTAGTACTAACTCAATGGAAACATGAAAACGTCTTTATCAGAATTCAAAGATGGCAATCTAATGTCCGGCCTTCACATGTTCAGGCTGAATTCTAAAATACGGACATTGATACAAGATATTACGAATCCAGACACAACACCATTGAGTGCAAAGGGGAACAGGCTAAAAGGGTGACATGTCTGGATCTGAACGCATACAGAGATGTAGCTTTGAGCAGACCACTTAGTCCTCAAGCTTTAAAAGCTGCATGATCTGTAGAAGGAAAGTGAAATCTTCCCGACCTCCTACTGGGATTGTCAGGAGTCTGCCAGGAAAATACTACATGGGACAGAGTTCGTGAGAATGAGGAAAGCCAGTACTGGGGGACTTATCAGTCCTACATATTTGTCTGATCTTTTAATACCAAAAAATATAATGAACAGTCACTAAATTGATATGTGGTACATTTGAGAACAGTTTTCTTTGGGTTATAATTTAAAAGCATAATTTAAGGGAACTAGCTGTCTGCTTAGGAGGCACTGTAATTGCATCAGTGTCGGACACCAGCTGTGCCATTAGGCAAATGTGCTTCAGCCCAGGCCTCAGG